TATCATGAGTCTCATGATAATTATTGTTTTCCTTAAAGCCCCAGCTCCTGGAGTCAAGTGGATTTGTGCTGATTTCAGCCTTCATTCTTTTCTTTAAGAAAAAATAAGTTTCTAGCCCATGTGGCTGTGAAGAAAGCTTCAAAATGTGACCTCAGTTCACCCTAAAGGCTCAAAAAGAGAAGGCAAATAAGACCACCACCAACTTTATTATTTGTACATAATCTCATGACTTTAAAGCCAATCTCATGATTTTTGGTGAGCCTGACTCACGATTTTTGAACATTTGGGGTTGGCGAAACTGTGGACTAGATGACAGGTGTTAGAGGGGAACTGTTGTGTCTATGTTATGGCCAGGTTCTAGAGGAGACTTAACCAATTACCAGAATCCCCCATCCTGGTGCATGTTACTGCTCCCAAGAATCAAACAGGGACTTCAGTGGACACCAATTCTGTCACAACTGCCAAAAGGAAACTTCCTTATGTGAGTCAGTATGAACTGTAGTCGGGTTACACCAAGGGCTGAGTCCCAACTGAGGTATCTTGCATAGGCCTTCAAATGACTGTTAACTGAATAATTATATTTTATAAAATACAAATACAAAAAGAACCATGCTCATGCCTGATCCTTTGACACAGGTGTATTAGTAAGTCTTAGCACTTGTATAGCACATTGTAAAATTAACTAATCCTCTTCTCCCGGGGAGTTAATTATTCCTATTTTACAGATTTGCAAAAGGAGGCAGAGCGAGGTAAAGTGACTTGCCTAAAGCAACAGAAAGCAGTTAGTGTCAGAGCAGGGATCAGAAGTCAGATGTTCTTGGTTCCCAGCCTGTGGTAAGACAATCCTGCTCTCTTTGCTTGGACCTGTAACAATAATGTCAGGGAACTGGGGCAATGCAGTCCGGATCAGAAACTCAACCAGCAAATTCTGGGTGCCCTAAGGTAGCTAAATGTTTCTAGGGAAAGCTGCCAATTGTGTCAATGGTCAAGTGCTCCAAGACATTTTATTGCCATCACTTCTGAAATAAATTTCAGACCTGCCCTGCTAGCTAGAAGTGAGGTGCTACAGTGGATGCTCCTGCTAGGGACGAAATCAATGCTGCACCAGGGAGGGAATCAACCCAAGACGCTGAAAAATAGTTAAAGAAATGGAGGGCTCAGTGAGCTTGGGAAACACCTGTCAGGTTATAGACAAATACATTTACAGGGCTTGATTTTTTCCTTTCACTTACCAGTGTAAATCAGAAGTAACTCCACAGAAATAAACAGAGTTACTTGAATAGAAAATGTGTGACTGGTGAATCAGGCCCACAGTATGTAACTTATTTTGTTCACTCAGCAGAAATAAATGCTTTAGTTCTGTGTGAACATGTGGTGAAAAAAATGACACTTTCCCATCTGGAATCTGTTCTGTGCTCCCATGTTAAATGGATCGATAAGCTCCATTCAGTTTTACCAGAATATGAAGAGAGATGATAAACTGGTTGATGGAAGGAAGGACGTTTTAAAAATATAAGCAAAGGTTATGGAATCTAAGTGAAATGAGCAATCATGAGATACTAGAGTGATAAGTGCTATATGCAGACCAAAAATAAATAATCCAGCTCATGTTAGTGAAAGCTGTAATTTAAAGATATGAAACTGAATGCAGGACCACTTGCCTGACAGGAGGCAATGGATATCACTTGACTTCCCTTCCCCTTTTATGTTAGGCTCTCAGAAGTATGAGGGAGAGGGCGGGTTCAGTACTGATATGAATATCTGCCTAGAAGCCCAAGGTCTCACTCCAAAGTAAAGATATATGCAGCCACACAATGAAGAATAGACATTGGCTGCTTGTCACGGAAAAAAACACAGCTTTGTCATGGCAAAAATTGCACAAATCAGAACTTTGGTTTTTAAAAATGCTAAAATTGTGGCACAGATTATAATTGACATTGTTTATCATGGGAAACTGAAAAAACGAAAGTATCCTCCATTTTACAATAAAAAGTTTTAAACTCATTTAAAAACTGAAAACCATTAAAAAAAATCCCTCATATAAGATAGAAATCCAAATGTGTGAAAATTCATGGCAGTATTACATATTTGCAGGCTGTGCAGGATGACAAAGACCATGACTTTTTATTAAAAAATAAATAAATCTGAAAATCATTGAAATCATGGCTGTGATAAACATAGAGCCTTAAAGACAGAGTGGCTAACTCTGCCTCTTTCTGCAAAGCAGCTGGGGATTTCAACTACCTTTTCAGCCAACGTTAGATAAAGAATGCAGGGGGTCCTGCTAAGAAACTCAAAATTAAGTGCAATTGTGTTTAATGTGCCATGAGTTTAGGGGACTGGACTAGATGACCTCTCGAGGTCCCTTCCAGTTCTATGATTCTGTGTTAAATCCAATGGCACCTTAAAGACTAACAGATTTATTTGGGCATAAGCTTTCATGGGTAAGAAGTGTTTTTTGACCCACAAAAGCTTATGCCCAAATAAATCTGTTAGTCTTTAAGGTGCCACCGGACTCCTCATTGTTTTTGTGGATACAGACTAACATGGCTACCCCCTGATACATGATTCTATGTTGTTTGTAAGTGACAAAAAAGACTGGGGTGGGGGCAAAGGTGACTTTATCACACCTTTTGAGGCCTTCACATATTCTGAGGCCTGTCAAGCCCTCAAAGGACCATTCTTGTAGCTGAGAATAGCCAGAGCTCAGCAGTGTTCCAACCACAACCTCTTTCCCTACCCATGCCTCTACCATATCCTCTATGCTGGGACGGTGAAGGCAGGTAATGTAGATGTGTTATGCCTGCTTGATGTGGACTATGCCACATTCAAATTTCCCCTGCTCCAGGATATTTTCCAGGGGTTGGATCCATCAGGTTTAGGTCCTCTTTGTGAAACCAGAGCAGCGTAAAGGCAGTACTAGGCTATAGCAAATCAGGCAGGAAGATTTGCAGATGACATAAAGCTGGGGGCATTGCCAACATTTTGGAGGATAGAGCTAAAATTTAGAGGGATCTTGATAAATGGGAGACAGACAGTAAAATGAAATTCATCAAAGACAAATGGAAGGTGCTACACCTAGGGAAGAAAAACCAAATGCAGAAATACAGAATGGGGGATAACTGGCTTGGCAGCAGCTGACTGCTGAAAAGGATCGGGGAGTTGTAATGGATCACAACCTCAACATGAGTCAGCAATGTGAGGTTGTTGCAAAAAAAAAAGCAAATAAAATTTTGGGTTGCATTAACAGAGGCATAGCATGCAAGTCACGAGAGGTGATAGTACAACTCTAGTCGGCGCTGGTTAGGCCTCCACCAGAGTACTGTGTCCAATTTTGATCACCAATGTATAGAAAGGATGTAGAGAACCTGGAAAGGATCCAGAGGCGAGCGACAAAGATGATGAAACGGGTGGAATGCCAGCCATACAAACAAAGGCTGAAGGAACTGGGTATGTTTAGTTTAGAAAAGGGAGATTAAGGAGGGACATAAGTCTTCAAATACTTGAAAGGCTGCCATAAAAAAGATTGAGAAAAGTTGTTCTCTCTTGCCACAGAAGGCAGGGGAAGAGGCAATGGGTTCAAACTACAGCAGAGCAGATTTAGATGAAATCTCAGGAAAAATGTCTTAACTGTAAGAACAGTAGGACAATGGAACAGACCGCCTAGGGAGGTTGTGGATGCTCCTTCACTAGAGATTTTCAAAAGGAGGCTGGAGAGCCATCTGTTTTAGGCTTTGTCTACAGTAGCACTTTTGTTGGCAAAACTTTTGTCTGTCAGGGGTGTGAAAAAAACCACCCCCCTGGCCGACATAAGTTTCACTGACAAAAGTGCTGGTGTGGACAGTGCTATGTGGGCAGGAGAGGCTCTCTTGCTGACATAGCTAACGCTGCTATGGGGGTGATTTAATGATGCCAGTAGGAGAGCGCTCTCCCGCCAGCAAAGAACAGCTACACAGGAGACCTTACAGCCGCACAGCTGTAGTGGTACAGCTGTGCGGCTGTAAGGTCTGTTGTGTTGACATAGCCTTAGATGATTTATACCAGTGGTTTTCAAACTGTGTGTGGACCCCTGGGGGTCTGCAGACCATGTCTAAGATTTCCAAAGGTGCCTGCACCTCCATTTGAAATTTTAGGGGTACACAAATGAAAAAAGGTTGAAATTCACTGGTTTAGATGCATGTTGGCAGGGGGTCAGACTAGATGACCCTTGCGATCCCTTCTAATCCTATGACTCTAGGCCCTATGTTTTTGACTTGCCAAAGTGTGACTTAGAGAGGAGGCTTATTATTTTCAGGAAATGGTTGTAATAAATAATGGTATTATTTGGGCTCCATCACTGCGCAGGGTGTTGTACCATACACAACTTTGGTTTCTCCTACGCTTGCTCTCCCATTCAATGTAACGTTCCTCCAACACATTGCCCTCCTTGTGCAATCAATTCTACCCTAACTCCTGGCCCCTTATGTCTACCTCTGTTGCCACCCACTCCCCATCCACACCCACTCCCTGACTCCTATTCAAATCTGTCCCCCCCACAAGCCCTTCACCCCCTTATTTACACCCACCGACTACCACCCACCTCTTCTCCCCAGGCAGTCACAGCTCAGGGTCCCCCCCATCTATCTACCCCTACACATGGACCCTATAACTACGCCTATACCACCTTCCCCCCCAATAGGGTGACCAGATGTCCCAATTTTATAGGGACAGTCCCGATTTTTGGGTCTTTTTCTTATATAAGCTCCTATTAACCCCCACCCCATCCTGATTTTTCACATTTGCTGTCTGGTCACCCTACCCCCCAATATGCATCTCCACCCATGGATACTCCTGCCTGCCACACCCAATAGAATAGTGTCCCACAGCCACACACCCCCATGAGCTGGGGGGA